GAAAATCATAGACTGATTAAGACTACCTCAATAGAAATTCAACACTACTATATAAGATTCACAAAATTCTCAGATTAACTGTATGTTGATGTAGGCGTTGTAATCCCTATGTATTATTGTACAAACGCACATGTGGATGAGGCTCAGGATTAGGTATATACCAGTGATTCTCTTGCCTGTTGTTCCGTACTTGCAGCTAACTGGTAGAAGCTCACCTGGAAATTAGCAATTGATGGGAAACAACAGATTTCTAAAATTCCAGCATTTTTCGACATACATCTAAGGGATTCGTTCTCATTTATCTTTAGGATATTAACTAAGCTGTTTTTCGAATTTCGTTGGATTGAAAAAATAGTGATTATTGATTCAATCTTTCGCTTGATCAGTACTGGCTAGTTTATTGGAAAGCCTATAAGTGTCACTCAAGATTGAATCGTAAGATCTCATCATGAATTATCATTAAGACACTATCAAAAACACCAGTGAGAAAGATTGGATATACATCAGAATATAATACAATCGTTAAGAAGTAATTAGGATTTCAATCTTTTGAATGATCATGACACAACTCGTAACATGTTGATATACTACATGTATAAGTAAATCTACATACGAATTAAAAGAATATAGTAGATACTTTTGGATTAAATATCAGATGTTGACTCAATGAAGAAGATGGTGTTTGGGAAGAGGAGATCATTCTCCTTCCTTGGCAAAAAGGAGAAAAAAGAAAAGGATAAAAAGGTAAAATTGATTTTACAATTATTTTTCTTGTTTTTTGCCATAACTTTATTTACTGAATGAATTCTTGAATGCCTATTTGCTTAAGTCCAATTCACTTATATTGAGCAGTCCCCACATACAGTATAGTAGCATTGAAATCATGAAGTTAACCTACCACTTTATCCATTTTAAAAAACACAATAGAGCCCTAAGAAAAAAGGAACTATATTGTTATTATTTTTTATAGCAATGGTTGAACTTATAATTCAATACATGACCCTTAGATTGTGGCAGTTTTTAACAGTATTGTTAAAATATGTGTGGTATATATGAAATCCCAAGTTCTCTGTCCAATGTTTCCCCATATTACATGCATACACAGGTACTTGTAGTTTATTGCCAGTATTTAGAGAAATCAATAGCACATCAAAATGTTTTAAATATGAAATTGATTTTGTGTTCATTACAAGTGTGCCATAGTTTCCCTTCCACTTGAAGAGGTCCCAATTATATCTGAAATTAATATAAAAATAAACAAATATTATCAATAATAGAATGTTGTTATACAGAAATGAAAAATGATAAAGATTATGTTGACAGTTTATTTAAGTTAATGATTGAGGCAGGATGTATTGTTTGCTATGGAATAGACCCAATGGTTGGATAAGTGGATAAGCAGTTAGGAATAGTATTTGCCATATGACCTTTTTATTATCACTTATTTACTTTCTGAAGTATGCTTTGTTATGTTGATTAAGTTTGAATTCTTCTAAATATAAGTTAGTCTTGTTTTGAGACTCATTGTGAGTTTCCAGAGTCTATCTTTATCTAAAACTTATGAGAATCTACTCTCCAGAAAAAGTAAAACGGTTGTAGAACCCAAAATGTCCCTTCCCCTTTGATATTTCCCAACCAATGTAGGCACAGTAAAACTTGTAAATCTGAACACCTCTAATCTGAACACCTCTCAATATAAACTCATTTGTCAGTCTTATTTTAAAGAATCTCAAAGTGCAACTGCAAATCTGAACACTTTTGACTGGTCCAAGTAGGATTCAGATAAGAGAGGTTACTTTGATAGAAGACAATGTATCATTTTGTTAAAGGTATATATTTTTAACAGTCTTATCTGCTTAGTTTCTTTGTGATTGTGTTTTTATAGAACATTAGAAAGTGTCACGCAGAGCTAATATATTAACTGACTGTTCATTTCAAAACTACTTATATTGAGAAGTATTTTTATTTTATTTATTCATTTTATTCCCAACATGTTCTATGATGTTCAGCTCTCTAATTGTAAAGCAAATATGATAAATCACCCCCCTAGGTAACACATGTCTCCTTCATCATCCCTGTGATCTAATAGTCTTCATTCTTATCCCTCTGTCCTTTGAAAAGCAAACATGTTATGCTCCGGTATGCACGTTACATCAAGCTGTGTCGCATCAAAATTCATTTTTCATAAACGGCAATTAACAACTGTTGTTGCTATTTGATTTTCATTTAAGGTGTTATTACATTGGGATTCTATTGAGGCAATTGGTTGATGGTAATTCACCCGCAGTCATTCTGTTATGTTCGGTATAAGGGGCCTTTCCGTTGATTTTGACAGGGAATATTGATGGTTGCAAGACGTGACCTATATTTATAAAACATTACACATGTATCAAAATTGCTCTGAGCGTCCCTTACATATAACTTATAGATATGTTGAGATATGTACTAGCCTACTACTACTGAGGATTGGTATTGTCATAAAGTGCAACAATGGTTGGTTAAGACTTTGGTTCTGATTTGCCAAATATCTTCTTTTCAAGAGTTTCTCCGATAGATATTAGAAGCTGTAGGTATGACAATAAGTAGGAGTTATAGGCAATAGGAACAATTTGAGAACACCAGAATCCAAAATTTTGTAAAATGATTGGAAAAGGTAGGAGAAACACAAAGAAGAAACAAGACCCTAATAACCCATAACACTATTCCATGGGACTGTAAAAGAATCCTAATATGATATATAAAACATCTCCAGTGTGAAATCTCAGCCAAAAGACCTGTCATTCTATTCCAGGATAACCTTGTCCCTCCTTGATCTTGTGTTATATTTTTGAACTGATGTTTTCAGGTTCTATTGTAAATATTCTGGGAGTGTAGTGTGTTTCAGTGCATGTTACCCTCAGGTTGGCCTAGACTGACCAACTCTGAGTAGCCATGGCCTTAAATTGTTTGTTTTCCTTTTTTGTTTGTTCATTTTCTTTCATCTTACTGTCTTGAGGATCTTGTCTTTTAGGACAGTTGCTAGAATTGTCAGGTGGAAGGTTTCAACAATATATTTCAGTAACATCTTTACTGTTTTGTTTTCGTATTAAGTTTGACTAAGAACTATCACCTCCCCCTCCCTCTAACAATCACAACAAAATTTCTATAATTATAGTAGTACTCATAAAAAAGAGGTTACATTTTTGGGTCTAAATTCACTTTGTTAAATTGATTCTTTTTGAACTGCTAAATACTGATGTCAAATCATGAACTATACCTGGACTTGTAAAAGTATACCTCTTCATAACTTGAGAATTTATTCATAAGAGTAATTAAATATAGAAGAAATGTGATGCTTTAAATATCTATAGGCTCATTATCAGTCAAAGTGAGTTTACTAACAAATTGAGCTTAAAAGAGAAATGTATTGAATTAGCAGATTATTGTTGTATTGGTGATAATCTTGTTAACATCATTGTAAGATAGGATGAAGAGAGAGATGAATAGACTTACAGACAATAGAGAAACAGGTTAATGAAACTGTAACATCCTGAACTCACCATCAATCTTACATCTCAGTGGAAGTCTTCTTTTCTTGCATGCAATAAGCTCATTTAAAAAACTGACAAAGCTTTTGCGACATTTTTATAATTTAAATCTATTATATAATCTGTTGGATAAAAATATGTATAATTGAGTAATATTGCAAAATTAATAGAATAAAAGGGATTTTGGACAGTTATCTGTGTTCTTCATAGAAAGCAAGTCCTGGTAAGTCATAGTGACACTTTGGAGGTGAATCTGAGGTAAGAACAGAGCTTAAAGGCCTATAACACCTGACTAGGCATAACTCATTGATTGTTTATCTATTGTTTACATGTGGATTGAAGCTGATGATGCAATATTGTAGGTTAATTATGATTTCTAGTAATGAGATAATATTTCTTGTTTTGTTTTTTAATCTGACAAGTACGAAGAAAGAACATTTGTTTCTCAACTCAGAATCAAGAAAACGTCATTGCATGGATCATGAACGACATGAAAAGTGACAACTTTCTCCATGGTCCCTCTCCCTACCTTCCATTTCTTCAACCATATTGTTAAACTGGTTTATTCCTCAGTCATGCACTTGTAATTCAGCCAAGAGTTATGCCAAACAGTATGTAATATAGTAGTATGTATCGATATAAATTACGGTCAAGATGCAAGTAAACCCAATAGATGAAAGTATAAAGAGAGGAGGATGGAGGGGCGGGGGGGGGGGGTTAGAGAGTTGTTATAAGACAAGATTTATATTACTATAATTGCATGTACATATATTAAGGTTGTATATAGGAGTAACTACAATTTCCATCAATTGCATCATAAATGCCAAGTCTGATGTGAGAGAAATATTTCTCACCTCAATTTACTTTTTGAAATTGGGTTGTTAATCAACTGATGTTTTAAGAATCTGTAATTAAAATACTTTACTACATCATAAATCAACAGATTTCAAGGTATTACTCCAGATTGTAGTGTTCTGAAGGGATGTAATGGTGTTAATTTATATGAATACTTCAGTGTAGTTTAGGGGTTAGATGTGTTTTATTTTCCAAGCAAGACCCTTTAAGGTACATCTATATCTGGATCTCAAGATTAAAGGCTCTAGTTTGTAGCCATATCAGTATTATAGCTTGTTGAACTTGTATCAAACACTTTCTTGTGGCTCCATTAGTGTTCACTATATACAGATTTTACTTTTGTATATAACAAACGCTTGGAGATTCGGTTGACAAAATCATTGTAAGATTTTTTTATTGAATTAACCATTGTATTTGTTTTCAATCCAAAACCAAACTGCATGTTCATTTATTTATTTTTTGTATTCAAGTTTGAAATATGTGATTTAAAAAAAGTACAGTATAATAATAGAGTTAGAAATTATATGTTTTATTCATACTGATTTAATGAATGCAACATCTCATGAATATATATTTCTGAATGTAAATGTTAATGTAGTTCAATTTGTGTATTTCCAGTGTGGGATAGATGTAAATAAACCTAACTCATACGACCAAACTGCACTAGATATTGTGAATAAATACACTACCTCTAAGGCGGCCAAAGAACTAAAACAATTATTAAAAGGTAAGTCTTTTTATTTGGATTTCTAATGGTTTTCTTTATCCTATTCAATCTGTGTAATTACCATCCTTAGACATGACATCAACCATATACATGACACCACTCATTGATGTGACATCATTAATCAATTACCTAGCTATAATAAACCTAGTATTTGAAATGACATCATCATAGAAAACTACTTCAACTGATACTTGTCGTCATTGCACATTGATCAAAAGTCAAACTAGGTTACAAAAATACATTTTGACCATATTTACATTTATATTAAATTGAATATTGGCCAAGTTTTTGTGATTTGAAAAAGTACAAGGCCACTCTGTTTGAAATGATGTTTAAATCAACACTCCTGTATTACAACCACATAGACTACAGATAGCAATGTGTACGAAACATGCTCATCTATGCTTTCAAAAGATTTGTTTTCATGTTCCTAAAGCAACTATTTTGTTTGACATTTCAAAATGAAATAAAGTAAAATGTTTTTCAAAATGACCATATGTATAAGGATTACTGGTATTAAAGGCTTTATAGTAGAGTTGATTGCAATTTCATTGGTAACTGTTACACCTTATAGGTAAGTTTGATGATTTTATCATTTTTAAGTCACAACCAAAAGTGTTGTAGTCTCCAACCTTTTTGTGGATGGCGTTTGGTGGTTGGTGTTCACTGTCAGCGGTCGTCAACTGATGTTTGCGTTGGTCGTGGTCGATGTTTTTACCAATTGGATCATGTTTGTGACAATTCACAAGAGGTGACATGTTATATTACAGTTTTGGTTCACTACTTCCTTGCTTAATAACGCATACATATACATAAAGACATAAAGTCAAATACAAGGATCAAGGAAAGCTATTATGTCAATTTAATGGATAGATTGATCATGTTCAACATTGATCTTTGGTGTCGTTGTTTATTTAAATCATATATATTCTTAAAAGGAAACAAAGTTAAATCATTCTCCTACATTAAAACATACAAAAAATAAAATAAGTATGTACCAGGAAATGGAATATATTTTCAAAAACACTCCTTGATTTAATTGATACAGTAAAATAGCTGCTGTACAGGGGATTCATTAAAATCATTACCACGCAAAACAAATTAAAAAAGCAGGAAAATTACCGGGGACTAAACAAATGAAGAAAACCACTCATTGCCTACTGATGGACCTTTACATGAGTATTTCTGGCCAGTCTTAGACCATTTCAATTTAACTGCTTTAACTGGACAATTGGACATGTTAAGTGCTAATTGATTGTTTTTCCAAAATGCCACAATATTCATATGGAGAACATACTATTGAATCTAATTATTCATTTCCACGTTCCTGCAGTGAAATAGCTCAGTAACTATCAATTAGGAGGTACCTCTTGGACTGTCTGTTGCCTGATGTGCCTCGCTAATAGCTTCAATACATCCAATGGCCAACATTATGTTTTACAATAATGTGGGGATGTTTCAAGAGTTGTTTCATTTTAATATGTGAGTCTCGTATCAAGCCACACTTGCCCCTTTATTTTCCCCATAAGTTTAGGCATACAGGGAAGTCATAGAAGACTTTATATATATTTAGATATATAACATTTGCTCCTGGTTTCTCTTAAAGGAGAAACTTCCAAGCCTCTTGTCTCCTAAGGGAGATGTCTCCTAAAGGGAGTCTGATGTTATTTCTCATTTACCAGTCAATACCTTCCTCAAAAACGCCCCATTTTATTGTACCCGCGAAACAATCTGAAAAAACTAGACGCGGTACTGTAGTTTCTTCTATATCTGAATGGGAGAGGGACACATTACCTGATCAACTCAAAACCATTCCAATAAAGCGCACTTTTAAATACCATCTTAAAAAACATTTATTTCTGAAGAAGACCCTAATTGACACAGTCCACTTGAATTTAGACAGGCAAGCTGAAATAGTGCTTAATAAAACCAGATGTGATTTCATTTTTCGTTACCATAAGTTCCAGCATCAATTCAATAATGTCAATCCTCAATGCCTGTGCGGTTTTCGATCTCAGACAACCCAACACCTATTCTTTTCTTGCCCCCTTTTACTTGATCTCAGGGAACAACTAGCACTCGACCTTGCAGGGATACCCAATTTCAACATTAACCATTATAACAAACTAAATGCAAAAGAGAAACTAGATACATTGTTATATGGTGGCTCAACATATAAAATTGAAACTAACAAGCTTATAGTCACAACAACTGCCAACTTTATTTCTTTAATTGTAGACTATGTTTAACCTTATATATTTGGTGTAAAATGTCACATGTAACTTATATGTATTGTCATGCTGAGTGTTCAGCAGCCTAAAATTACTTGATTTTTATGTGCCTACTTAACTCTATTTTAGAAATTGTATAAATGTGTATTTGTGAAAATTGACATGGGCCACTAATGCCAATGGCCTTGGCCCATTGTCGGACATTGTGAAATGATAGTATTGATAAATAAAACATAACCTATAAAAAAAAAAAAAAAAAAAAAAAAATACCTTCCTCATATTAGGTTTTGTTTTCCAAGTTCATGTCATTTCATAATATTAAACTTATTTGAGTGATTTGCTTATAGATTATATCCCATAATTTTAATTCATCTTCATGCCATTACACATACACTTACAGGAAGTTGGATTCAGTGACCCCTGTTACACAGGCTAGTTGAAATGCTTCGTTACGAAGCAATTTGACAAAAAGCTTCGTAACGAAGCAATTTTGGGCCAGTGTAACACCTCTGCCTTCGTTGGAAAAGCTTAGTTGATAACGAAGCAATTGAGTAGAAAATTCAACGAAGGTCAGCTTCCAACGAAGCTTTTTTGGCCTGTGTAACAGGTAGCTTCGTTAGAAAATGCTTAGTTGGCGGTTTGCGCATGCGCGTAATAAAGAGCACATTCATCATTTTGAATTAAATGAGAGGAATCGCGAGGAAAGAACATGTTTTTTAAGTACGTATTATTATAATGCTACGTTTTGATTAAAATAATTATCTATTTGCGTCACTGATTGACGCTAACTCAAGCCCTAAACGCCACGTATAAATGTGATTTACCGTCTTTCGTAGCATTTCATTCGATTCCCTGCCTTTCCTCGCATTGATATGACAAAAAGTATTAAATCTAAAAAACGCAGGTTTCACCGTATATGTATTCGGTAGTTTTGAAACGTTTATCTGATCTTTTAGAGAATAAACCTAGAATATTTAAATGTCCCTCTTTCAGAAAACTCCGTCTCTGTTTAAATATGTTGAATTAATTACGTTTCAAAACTTCATATACAAATACGGTAAAACCTGCGGACAAGGAACGGTGGCCAAAATTGTTTCTTGTCGACAGATATTTGCCACAGAGAGGCTGCATGTATTAGGCCAGCCCCAAACACTATTGATGTGTCGTAAGACGATGCTTATAACTGATATTCAAGTTTCTTCCTATTTGCGCCATTTTCGAATTCAACGGACGGCTTATGGATTAACATACTTATTTATGTCAAACTCACTCAAATATGCATGGAGTATTGGCGAGACGGGTAATATTCATATTAAAATGAATTGGTCATGAAATAGTAGTTACACGCGGTACTAACTTCGACCGTTAATTTGAATTTTTGACCTACCGGATGTTTGAAAATCAAGGATTAAGAGTCTCATACTGCACCGTTTTTCTTCAAACTTGTTCCATTCAAAGCATAAAAAAAAATCCCTTTCTGATGGTACATTATTCTCTTAAACAAAGTCTCTACTTCCAGCGGCATTTTGGTCCCCAGCGGTAAGAAGGCCTTCTAACAGCTGGGGACCAAAACGCTGCTAGAACGAGGGACTCTTTACAATAAAGTAATGCACCGACAGAAAGGCAATTTTGTTTTGCTTTTAATGGTATAGGTTTGAAGAAAAACGTTGCAGTATGAGACTCGCAAGGCTTGATTTTCAAGCATCTGGTAGGTCGAAAATTCAAATTAACGGTCGAAGTTAGGACCGCGTGAGTTAAACCACCAGCCGAACACCGAGATATATTAGTAATGGCTACACTGTTTGAAATATAACTGAGAAGTCCATTTGGAAATTGAACGTTTTTATACGATATTACATACTAGTCGTCTGTATAAACCCCGTATCCAATTCCTCCTACTAATTAACATAGGCCTATTTTATTCCATATGTTTTCCAAAGGAAATGATAGAAAATGAAAACAATACCTGTAATCGTATTGACAGCTGAAATATATAAAAATCGAAATGATCGGAAAAATGTATGGACATGTGTACGGAATGATCACATTCATCTTGTTTTATTTTCCTGAGAATTTTGAACTAGTCTTTTTTCTGTGCTGATTTGTTAAAATAAAGATTAAAAATTAGATTTTTGAGTTTGATCAATGGTTTATATCAAAAGAATAAAAATATTAATCATAATAAGTGGGTGGGGCAGATGAGTAATGCGCACGCGCAACGAAGCATTTTAAGTGCAGTGTAACACCAAATAATTGCTTCGTTAGGGTTGGATAAAGCCAGTGTGGACACTATTTTTTCGCTAACCTTCGTTACAAAAATGCTTCGTTAGACTCAACCCAGCAGTGTAACAGGTACCAGTGTTTGACATGCCCCCTTAGTCAGCTGTTTTCAACTTTTCCAGAGTTTACACCTCAAAGGTCGCTCAGTGCATTCACCCAAAATGCTATAATAAATCATAGAAGGAAAATATACATTAACCTTCCAAATTGGAATCTTCATATCCAATGCTACATTCCTCTATAAATATTGCAAGATTGCATTATTTTGGAAACCTTTACATTTCAAAGTATATTCTTGCTACCATTATGATATCCCATTTCCAATTTTGAGATTTTTTTATATGAAAAATTTAGTATTTTGATCATCAGTTTTTTCAAGGTTCATACCTTGGTTTACGAGATTTTGCACACCTGGAAAAACAGTAAACATCAGAATTCAGATCTTTCATGGAATAATTAGTGTTTTGGAGAAAAACAATTCTGTGGAGTGGGTAAAATTTACTGACTTGTTTATGAAAGAAATATGATGATTAATTGCAGAAAAATGTTGAATAACATCTTACTTTGATTAATCAATCAATCAATCATTAAGCAAACCTAACAAATAAACAAACAAACAGACAATTAATCAACATATTAAATCATTCATCAAAATGGCCAAAAGTATTCTTTACCAACTCAATTTAAAAAATAAAAACCATTCTGCTATGAATAACTTAACTTATTTCTTGTTAGTATAAAATAGAGCTAAGTCTCTTGGGTGGGAATTATGTTAAAAGAACCATCCAATTTTCTCGGATTATTTGAGATACAATTTGATTATGAGCTGCATAAATGGATTGAAAATGGTCAGGGCTTTTTGGTTCCACTGAATGGTTGTTTATCTAAGGTTTATGAGGAGCGTGTGTCATTCTTCGTCCAGTTTTCATTAAAATTGTCCAGTTTTTATCAAAATTGAGTTTTACACACAAAATATTAAAAATAGCAATGCATCACCCTATTTCCGCCGGAGAGGGGGCTTAATTAGCCTTCCAACCTTATATTTGGCCTTTCTTAATATTTGGTTCACCCAAGTAAGTTTAGAACATTTCTGAATAAAAAGAAAACATCCTGATGTAAGAATAGCAATTTTCCGACCACCTGTGTGTTTGTTATTAAGTGTCAGATTCTTCATTCTGTGCACAGTCCCAGAATAAATGACTAATTAGGGAACTGTGTGAATTATAGAAGATTAAGGTTTTTGGGTACTGTTTCTAAGACTGAAGTCCTGATGTAATCTTTCAATGTTGATCTATTTTTGCATTCTGATACTCATCACACTGTTATATCGACAACAAGAGTTGATGTGGTTTATTTATCATATGCTAGCTATAGTAAAATGTAACATTTTAGAAATCTACTTTTGCACCAAAAGGTTGATTTAGGGCCAACTATTTATCTTATATTTTATATAGCCCACGATAAGCTCTGTCCACTGTCCAGTCATTAAAACAACATTTCAGAGTCTGATAAGACAAAAATAGATAAAACAAACAAGCATATAGGGAGTTTGTACCCCAATAATATGAGATATGAAAGCACTTTAAGTTGATAGCACCAGACCCTTTGAACTTGTATTTTATAGTTGAATTATATTGTAGAATCTTTCACCTAGAGGTTATTATTGAAGTAATCTTTATTGTACTGCCAGTACAAGCCCTTGACACCCCCCCCCCCCCTTACTTGCACCTCATTTGAAGTAGGAGGTGGAGTTGATATGGGTGAATGTCTTCACAGGCTTAATCACCCTTGGTATACGCAGCTAACGAAAATTGACCGGTACGGGTCAAAAGCTGGACCGGTACGGGTTAACGGTTTTATTTGAATTTAAAACAGCCATAACTTGCTCAATATTGACTTCCTTGTGTCTAATTTGAAATATATGATGCCTCCCGATGCTTTTAAGTACCCCAATTTTTTACAGATTTTTAAACGGACCAAAACTCTCTAAATGCGCATTTATGCTCTTTTCTCTCGAGAACGACTGTCTCATTTTCACGATTACTTTTATTTAGTACTTCTAACATATAAGATCTATTTTTCCCCATCAAGGAATGATGTAAATGACATGCTATTAACATCTTGTGAGTTTCAATGACGCGCGTTTGATTTTATAAAAAATGCCAAACTTTGTGACAAAGAATTTCCTCCTGCTTGCAGCGAGAAGACGGACCGGTTCGAGGCAATAACACACATGTATAAAGATTCCTAAATTATGTTCATGCTATTGCCCCGAACCGGTCAGTCATCTCGCTGCAAGCAGGATGAAATTCTTTGTCACAAAGTTTGGCATTTTTTATAAAATCAAACGTGCGTCATTGAAACTCACAAGATGTAAATAGCATGTCATTTACATCATACCTTGATGGGAAAAATAGATCTTATATGTTAGAAGTACTAAATAAAAGTTATCGTGAAAATGAGACAGTCGTTTTTGAGAGAAAAGAGCATAAATGCGCATTTAGAGAGTTTTGGTCCATTTAAAAATCTGTAAAAAATTGGGGTACTAAAAAGCATCGGGAGGTATCATATATTTCAAATTAGACACAAGGAAGTCAATATTGAGCAAGTTATGGCTGTTTTAAATTCAAATAAAACCGTTAACCCGTACCGGTCCAGCTTTTGACCCGTACCGGTCAATTTTCGTTAGCTGCGTATACCAAGGGTGTTAATGCACCACTATTTATATCAGAAAATTAATTTACATTTTATCAATAATTGCTGAACATATCTTTCACCTTGAATTTCATGTTGAGGTCTACTTGTTTATGAACAAGTCAAATATGTTGACCTTTATTGCATTCATACTCAAAGGATAACATGTGTTTCTATTGTTTTAATAGAAGGTTATCAGCACCTGATTATATTAAAAGGATGGTCAAAGATCTTTGCATTATCTCTCAAAGGTGCCAATTTAAACAATACATCAAAACATGATCACATTTTTTTTTATTTGATCGAGTAGACTATATGCCAACCTTTTTTTTGAACTTCAAGTAATGTGGATGGCAGATACTGTACATCAGAAGAAGACCAACATTCAATATTCACTTTTGAAATGAAACTTCTTTTAATTTCGTATGACTTGGAGGAGTTTCCGTTGTTTTGTCTTTCAGATGTTGCCCTTCATGTTTTTGTGTTCTTTCAGATGCGAGCTCTGCAGTATATGCCCGTGCCTTGAAAGATTTTAGTAATCCTTATGAGCCAAATAGTATATGCTTCAAAGAAGGCGACTACCTAACGGTAAGTGAAACTTACTTCTTTGTCTTTTCATTTTACTAAGTTTAAAACTTTATTTAGAAGATGTTCTCTTTTCATCATAATTATTAAATATTTGATTACAATGCCATCTATTTATATTGATAAAGACTATATTTTCTATTATTTTGATAAAGAATATATTTTCTATACCTATGGCATATATGCTTAGCATATGAAACATATCAGTTATATTGTCAGTTTACAATGCTGAATATGGATACCATATTACATGTGTTAACTGCATCACATATTTTACCACACTGTATAATTGTGTTCTATATTTCATATGTTTACTGTATTTCAGGTGCTAGAACAGTGTCCAGATGGAATGTGGAAAGGTTTTGTGATGCATGATGGACAATTAGCCAAATCTGGTTACTTCCCAAGTAATCATGTAGTCCTGGTAGATAAACAAGGTAAATTCAACTTATTGTATATTTGTATATATGTACATGTATTGTAGTTGTATATATGTACATATATTGTAGTTGTCTATGTGAACTGTTGTATGTATATGTACATGTCAGTACCCTTTGTTATGGCTAGTCTTTCTTTTAGTGTATGTTATTTATATCAATAAATTGTAATGTACCGTGCCCGTGGTATATTGTATGTGTTTCCACATTCATAAATAATTCCTTCCCACTCCTGTTTGCTGCATAGCATTGTCTTCAAGTGTTTGTTCTTAAGCTGCTACCCTGAGTGTAGAGGTTGGACAAAGCTCTTAGGAGTCCAAAGGGTAGCAAACTGTAGTGTAGTGTATTTTAGTGTAGTTTATACACAGATTTGAATGCAGGACTTTGTAATATTTGTATTGTAGGGAGAGAACTATGTGTGAAGAATGCAGGTAAACTGGTGGATGTACATCCTATCTATAACTCACTCAACTAAACACACTCACATTGATTCCTTCATAAATACAGCTTTACTATGGTTAACATTCAATTTTTGTAAAATACTGAAAATACTAATGAAAATCTAAATTACCAATGTGTCCTTAGTTTTTGCCATTTTGGCTAAATGGTCCATCCGGAAGTCCAGGGGGCCTTGTAGTTTTTACCAGCCACATGTAAATGAAACTCTCTTTTAAATAACTGGAATCAAAGTATTGAAAAGGATAGAAACAAGAGACAGGACCATTTACTATAGTCAAGTGAAATTTATATTTGGTGGCAAAGCACTTAAGATCTGAGCATTTACAGTACAGCCCTCTATTCTATTTATCATATGTTTTCTTTCTTAATACTACATGTATATCTAATATTGCCTAACTTTCTGCCTGGATATGATATCGAATTCTTGAATTTTAAGTAAAAACTTTTCAGAAAACATATCCTCATGTTATTCAGAATAAAAAGATAATTTACTTCAACTTCTTGAAAATTTTGCAATCCATGTAGAATCCTGCATTACATGTCTAATGCAGATGTGTTTTTCACCTTGCAGCTGTGATAAATCACAACCCCCAGAGGTTGAGTGCCTATGGACTAAAGAAGGTGAACACCCCACAGGTGCCCGACCTACTTAATCGTAACCCTCCTTACCACAACAGTAACCCCCACCTCATAGATAGGAACTCTTACGGCAGTTATAATGGCCAACTGGAGAGGAACTCGTATGGAAGCAGTAGCAATAGTTTACACATAGACACCAGGTATCATTTTGGATTCTCTAAGTAGTAGCAATAGTTTACACATAGACACCAGCTATCATTTTGGATTATAAGTAGTAGCAATAGTTTACACATAGACACCAGGTATCATTTTGGATTCTAAGTAGTAGCAATAGTTTATACATAGACACCAGGTATCATTTTGGATTCTAAGTTGTAGCAATAATTTACACATAGACACCAGGTATCATTTTGGATTCTCTAAGTAGTAGCAATAGTTTACACATAGACACCAGGTATCATTTTGGATTCTAAGTAGTAGCAATAGTTTACACATAGACACCAGGTATCATTTTGGATTCTCTAAGTAGTAGCAATAGTTTACACATAGACACCAGGTATCATTTTGGATTCTCTAAGTAGTAGCAATAGTTTACACATAGACATCAGGTATCATTTTGGATTCTCTAAGTAGTAGCAATAGTTTACACATAGACATCAGGTATCATTTTGGATTCTCTAAGTAGTAGCAATAGTTTACACATAGACATCAGGTATCATTTTGGATTCTCTAAGTTGTAGCAATAGTTTACACATAGACATCAGGTATCATTTTGGATTATAAGTAGTAGCAATAGTTTACACATAGACATCAGGTATCATTTTGGATTATAAGTAGTCGCAATAGTTTACACATAGACACCAGGTATCATTTTGGATTCTCTAAGTAGTAGCAATAGTTTACACATAGACATCAGGTATCATTTTGGATTCTCTAAGTAGTAGCAATAGTTTACACATAGACACCAGGTATCATTTTGGATTCTCTAAGTAGTAGCAATAGTTTACACATAGACACCAGCTATCATTTTGGATTATAAGTAGTAGCAATAGTTTACACATAGACACCAGGTATCATTTTGGATTCTAAGTAGTAGCAATAGTTTATACATAGACACCAGGTATCATTTTGGATTCTAAGTTGTAGCAATAATTTACACATAGACACCAGGTATCATTTTGGATTCTCTAAGTAGTAGCAATAGTTTACACATAGACACCAGGTATCATTTTGGATTATCTAAGTAGTAGCAATAGTTTACACATAGACATCAGGTATCATTTTGGATTCTCTAAGTAGTAGCAATAGTTTACACATAGACACCAGCTATCATTTTGGATTATAAGTAGTAGCAATAGTTTACACATAGACACCAGGTATCATTTTGGATTCTTCATTTCAACTCATGCAGTATGTGCCCAGTTGATTATTTAAAAATTATTCTGCATCCATTGCAAAATATATCAATAAAATCTATTTAAAAATTTATGATCAATTCAGATCTTTTTACCATTTTTTGATGTTTCCTTAAGTAGTAAAAATAAGAACTTACTAAATTAACAATACAATTTGCTCCTAATAATGATAATAAATAGAAAAATAACTTTATAAAATAGTTGTGTGATTTGAATATCACGTATGTTTACTTTTAATCTGTGAAGAACCTTGAAATTATACAGAACAAAAAAAGCTCTACTTATTGAACACCCTGTAATTTGTTCATTTTCTCATAAACACATATTCCTTCCAGGAATCACAATGGACGTAACTCCTATGGGAGTCTGGGGCCAGATGACAATTTCCCACCCCCTCCCTCCCCAAACTACTCCCCACGCTTCCTGGGAATATCAAGGTCACCTAGATCACCAAGGTCACCTGCAGGTCGAGGTAGGTCAAACTTCAGTCAATATTTTATTTCAGAAAGCAAAGAAATTCCCCAGCAGTTCTGGATTATTTAGAACTGTACAATAAAACATCAAAATAAGTTATATTTATTTGTATAGATGTCGCTCAGCTCTGATGTAAAACTTATCTTTCACGCAATGAAATCTTAGAAGATTCTGCTTAAATTGAACTATAATGTGTGAAATCATAGAAGTAGAGAAGAAATTAATGAAATGTGAATGAGAAAACTCTAAAAGAAACCAAAGACCTTCCGAACAGATTAATAAAAAATACAAATAAACCAGAAAAAGGACAGAACATCAAGGGACCAAAAAAGCTGAAATTCCCAAAACCATGATTTAGACCCAATTCCTTTAACCATGAACAATAGTGAAGATTGTAAACACATGATGTTGACTCCTATGGACATGTTGACAACTATGGACATCCCTGTTGAAAATGTAATTGAAGGATTCTCAGAGAAACCGGAGACTGGGAGCAATTTCTGGTGAACCAACAAACCAAAATAGATAAAGATCTACAAATCCAGATGACAGATTTGAGACCAATGGTCCTAAACTAATATGGCAGGCGCAGAAAAATGTCTCAAATGACTTACCTTTAAACTTTGATGTGGGGTTGAAAGTGAAACTCAAGCAGAAGAAAAATGATGATATGTGTGTTTATGACAATCTGATGTGAAATGTGTAGGAGTATTTTGAAAGTGGAAGTAAAGCAAAAATTATCTTTGTGGTACCGTGTATTAATTCCTTTTCATAAATTAGAGAAAAAATCGATTGCTCTGCTGTTTTGATCTTTATTTTTAGCTGTGGTGTTAGGTTGATGTGAACTTACCTGTATTTTGAAATTAGGTTAGGTTTTGCCAGATGGGGTCAGGCTTGGGTCAGAGGAAGATAATCGTAAGTTGTTTTTATTGCGGTTGTCTGATTATAGACAGCACTCATGTGGTTACTCTGGAGATAATTAAATAGTTGATATTTTAGCCACTGGTAATTACATTCTGGCCACAGATGATCTACTTCTGGCTATGGGTAATAAAGTTTTGGCCACAGGTAATCTGGTTTTTATCACACTTTGAATAAGTGATGGGCTTCTGTTAATTATGTCAACATATTAGCTTTTATTATGTATAAGCTCATCCCCAAACCCAATTTTTATAGTAATACATCTATGACTTCATTTTAACATCATTTCTTGTCAGAAAATAGATAGAGCAAAGGCATGAAATATTTGTTGTAAGTTTTTTTATAAACTTTACCATTATACATGTACATGTACTGCGATTTTGAGATTCTGTTCTCCACCTGGATTTCAAAGCACTTCATTTGAATTACAGAGATTGCTATGAGCCACACACAGTACACCTAGGGTGTCCCTACCCTCTGCTGGGTGCTAAGTAAAGGCATATGTTGCTAATTATTCCATTCCAACCAATGCCTTGGTCAGACAGACAAGCCAGACAAAACTAGGCAAGATAGATATAGCATATGTTTTAAAGGGTTTTCATCAAGATCTGTATTGAGGGTACATCTCCTGGGCCCCAATGTTCTGGGATAACATCACCTTTTGACAGGTCCAGAAGTTATGGTTGGCTTGGGTGGTATTGCAAATTAGAGGGGACAAGTAGAGATTGCATTGAAAAAGTTTATTAGCATACATAGAGATAGAAAGGCAAGAAAACCAGGTGTTTAGGCAGATTTTACATATTGATAAACATAAAAAAATATTACCAATTTATTCACAGGTACACAGGTAAAAGTATTTTTATAGATGTGAAAAAAAACTACAAAAGCCACTAAAACGCCTGAAGATTAAGGATAACACCATGTTAATAAACCACATCAAATCAGCGTGTTTGGCAGGTCGAAATAGGTTAATTGTGGTTTTTGAAATAATTGGGTCAATTCAAGGCTGACCTATTTATGTTTGGTTGCATTTCTTGAGATTCCATAAAAGTAATTCAATGGTCTACTATGTCACCACCAAAAAGTGACGGCGGTTGGCGATCAGCGATTGGCGGTTGGCGATTGTCGTCTGTAACAATATTGTGAGCAACTAGGTGGTGACATTTTGTCATGTTAATGCCTTGTTGTTCTCTTGAAATCACAGTATCCACTAGTGTTGTCGCGATGTGCCATAATCGTACATCGATGCATCGGCAATTTTCAGTACTAAACATCGATGCACATCGCGATGCACATCGCGAAAAAGTCCGAGAAAAGTGCACTGAAATACTGAACGATAATGCACTAAAATACCGAACATCCGGTACATCCGGGAACTTCTAGTAAGGGTGAAATGAAAGTAAAGTAATTTTTTTAGATTAATGGTTCATTTCGACTAGCTAAAACAGTTTTAAAGCGAAAGAATATCAGAAAACATTGGAAAATGAAATAAGACATGAGAAAAGTAAGCGATTTGCGTCAAAATAAGATAAGAAAGGGTGATTTTTAGCAAATCAATTTTTTTTAAAAACATCGATGTTTTGTTTCAGACATCGATGCATCGCCAGAATCAGCTTTGGCGATGTATATCGCGATGTATCGATTAATCGCGACAACACTAGTATCCACGGCAATGAAAATAGATCCCTGGTTTATATTCATCAGCAGTAAGATAGTAAAGCAACATTTGTTGCTATTTCACCTGTGGCAACATGACTTATATCTTACATTGAGTGTGCCCTATCAAGAGGTTACATAATTGGAGAACATGGTAGCTGTATCTCAACACAGAGGGAAATTGTTTTCTTGAATTTCAAATCAATTCCAAATTAATGATTGGATCTTGCATCATATTACAAGTTAGAGTGACTTTATAATCAATGGTGTGTTTGTTAATGGCTTATTACAAGATTTATACAGTTTTAGCCTAAATAAACAGTAGCCATTTCTAACTGTGTTTTGATAGTCTTCAGTGTTGGTCTCATTTAGATTTTATTAAATAGTTATGGGTTAATCATTTGAGATAGTTGGGTAGGCTAACATTGCAGTTTCCTTAGACAGGGCCAGGGATTCTTTTCAAAAAGATTGCCTTTTCCTTTAATTCTAACTATCAGTTCCCGCTGTTTTGATGTCTAATGGAAAGTTCCTCTTGGTTGAATGCTTTCATGTTTTGTTATGTTTGCTAGATACTTCTGCCTGTGATGCAGATATGCCCTTCTCTTTAAGTACAACCATTTATTGGTAATATTCCTCTATGATCATTCCAATTACTCTAAAACTTTAGATGAACTGACTGACTGTCTCAATGTTTCATATAATTCAGAATATTTCTTTATTCAACATTTGTTCTTATTTTATTTGTATGTTATAACAAACCAGTGTGATGTTTTAATGTAGGGGTTAATTCATGATCCTGTGCTATAATGATAGAGATAGCAGGTTATTCTTGAACTAACACTTTGTTTCACCTTTACTTCAACAATAAAGCTTTGCTGCACTCTACTTTCGGCTACTACTTGTTTTCACCCATTCTTGATGCATCAGCACACTGCTTATTGGACGCACTGTAACACACTCGATGTAAGATGTAGAGCAATATATTTAGGGCAACATATTTGATGTTATAACTTGTGGGCAAGACATGTTCACCTATTGTTGTTTACTGGTGTCTTGGCAACCTTGACATATTTACCATTAGGTAGAAACAATTATCCCAGTATACCTATGTTTACAATTAAGTCCTTTATATTACTATAATCTTTAAAATAATTAATCAAATAGTGCTGATTTTCTTGCATTCCTCACTTGTCAAGAGTTTGATTTAGATGATTGGTTGATGTGTATTTACTTTATTCCTTGCTAATTCAGCTTTTAAACACATGATTTCCATCAGTATTTTTCATATACACACCCAAGTCTTGTAAATATGCCAAATAAAACATCAGCTAGTGTAGGATGTGATTCAAGTCATTATTTGAGAGATGCTTACTCAAGTAGTTCCATGAATTCTTGATTTTCTAATTCAATTGGACACAAGAGGACTGTCAATCCCAAGAAATTGCATCAAAAATCATTAAGAGAATGTTATATCTGATGCATTGTGGGATTAATAGTTCAGAAATGACATGATTTATCTGAATAACTCTGTTTTGCATTCTGGCAAGTGATTATCAATAAGTGGGATTTTATTTTGATGCATTGCGCTGTTTGTCATGATGGTATGAATACATTTTGATGTCATTTTGGATCTAAGTCTAAATGAAATAACACTTAGTTGTTCAATAAAAATATGTTTGCTTTATTCGATATTATTTAGCTTTGACAATTTGATGAACGTTTTGGCTCTTTTATTGAAAAAAAGAACATAAAAAACTGGAAAAGATGCTGATATGTTTTTAAGAATTAATAAAATCACTATTTCCAACTGACTGGTTAATCTAACCAAAATTTGAGATAATTGTGACAATTTGAATGTCAGTTGTCCAATATTTTGGGAAGAAAGTGAAGCTTGGTTATCTCATTTGAAATAAACATCAATTCTTATTTAACTAATAAATTGAGTTTTCATTGATTTGATTTAAGCAAGTAGGTTTAGAAAGGGAGTCTATTCAAACTACAAAATTGTTTCAATTAAGCGCGCAATTTCACCTCAGTCATTGACATTTCATTGTGACATCATGAGGATCTCAGCGTTTGATTGGTTGATAGGATTAAGGTTCTTTCGTATTGACAGTAGATTATTTGGATAATCTAATCATGTTTGAATAATGCAAGCATGTTTAAGAGGGGACTAACAGATGAGACTTCTTTCTATGTAAACAATCTGAGAAAAATATATCTTATCTGGGAAATTGCCATTATAGAGGTTCAGCCTAGAAATATTACAGCAGTTGAATTTTCAAATATGAATAGAGGGGAAATCACAGGGAGATAAATATATAGATTCATAATAAACAAAAATTATAGATAATTTTTTGAAAATGCGACAGATTAAATTAATGTTGAGCAAAATGGCAGAACAAATTGAGATCAAATCAGACTAATACATAGCTCTTCATAAACATTCCAAATAAGGAAATCAGCCCATGTTGATGAATGGAGAGTCACGTCTATTTTGGGGCTGTGGCCTAGACTGAGATATATAGAGTTGGCAGGCCATAGTGATAATTGTGAAAAATCCTAAATGTTTGGAACAATACGAAGACTAGGAAAGTTGGGACTTAAAGGAACTTTTACATGGAGATAAGCCATCTGGGATAATTTTACTAGAACTGACAAGTGAATTTTGACCTGGAATTAATAGATTAGCATATTAAAGAGTTAATTAATTAGGCTAAGACACCTAAGAGTTATTCTACAATAGAATTGTAGAGAAAACAATTGACAGATTTGAACATTGAAGATTCAGAACATGCTTAAACTACAAGATCGTCAAAGAACTGATGGTATCCTATAGGATGTATTGGATTTGAACGTCATAAAGAATAATTGATAGTGACAATTAAAGAAAGTATGAATATTCGGATCCTCCGGGATTAAAAGTGATTCATGTCATTTTGATTGCTTTAGTAATGAGAAAATCAGAGAAATTAATATCGCAAAGACATAATATTGAATAGTTTGAGAAATTGATGATAAAAAGAGAAAAATGTCATTTAGATCATTCATTAAGCATCATTGAATCCTTATGACTTAGTCACCACATAAAAGGATACAAGAAAGCTGTGAAATAAATGAAGAAGTAATGATGTCCTGGACTGAATGATCAATCTGGATAACCATTCATGAATGCAGAAGTTGTAAAGTTAATTCCTGCTAAGAGAAGCCAAGATCTACCATTGGAAAGTTAAGCTGTTAAATGACTGATGACTAGATTTTGGATAACACGTAGGATCGCCTGACAACTAAAACACTCTTAGGATTATTTAATGAAAACAATATTTGTGATTTGTTTCTTTTAACGAGATGTAATTAAGTAAATAGACAGAGATTAGAATGAGGATTAAAAGTGATATAGTAACTGTAAAACATAACTAGATTGGTGGTGTTTATAGCACATTACCTCACAGTTTTATCATCCACAGCCATTAACTATCTTAAAGTGATACTATTAAGAGAGGTTGCTGATATCCCAATATGTTAATGTTCACTTTGTAGTTCATCACCTCTGATTAGTTCAATTTTGGTCAGATGATCAGCAGTTGCTTCATGGGAAGGAGTGTACTTTGTGTATAGCATCCTGGAAAGTGGTTTGTTTATCATTCGAAAGAACCAAAGGAACAAAAAGAGAAAACAAAAAGTATATTTTCGCTAAGAATTTGACCTGAATTGCAATCTACATGTGTGGAACTAAAACTGGAGTGCTTTTTTGAAGCAAAATTGAAAATCTCACCTCATATTTTCAAAATCTTCACCAAGGAAGTGACTTGAATGTCAGGAGTGCAAATAAACAAGTTGTTGGATTTACAGGATAGTTACATAAGACATGAGAAGCTCTGAACATTAACAAGTTGCAAATTGCAGTCAGTAACAAAAACAGAACAAGACTTTCGTATATTAATAACAACAACAACATACTGTACATAGTTGATGCAATTAAAAGATGGCATACTTGAAATGTGACCAGATTTATACAATGTTTTCCTCTTGTTTGTCTCCAGATGAATATGGCCGATCTTCAACGTTCCAGTTCCCGCCAGTTATGCAAAATAACGTGAGTAGATTATCTTTATTTTGAATCCTCAATCTCAATTCAATTCCTCAAGTATAAATGACCCCAAAGGTATTTGATCCTTAATAGATTTGTTTAGCTGGCCTCACATGAATCTCCTCATGGGTGCCTCTCTCATAGCACATTGTTTTACAATTATTGGGAAATAGACAATGACAATAGACCATAGTCATAATGACTACATTGTCTCATTTCCTTGGTTTACAACATAATGTCGTAAATAATCACTTGTTTGAGTGCATGTAATAATACAAACTTTATGTAATATATGTATACCATATTGTTGAACCTATCTATAAGATTACAAAAGTCATTTATAAGTTTTATTACCAGGGTTTACTTTTTATGGATGTGTAATTTTATGTTGTGGAATTATTACAAATTTTGCATATACAAGCATGTTCTTAATTTTCAGAATTTGTAGTTTACATATTTTAGGTCAAGTCGGGTGTCTCTTCTACAGCAACTGTATTTAGATGAACTGATATATCTAACAGGCACAAAATGGGAAATGAAAGCTATTTGGGTGATTGGCCCACCTATAAGACCATATTAATCAACATTATATATAATAATACTTCCCTTACAGAAATAAAGCATTAAAATGGATGCATCGATTAGCCCAGTCTTAATATACAGCATTCAATGTTAGCTTTTTATTGAAAACAGATTTCATAAAGTAGAAATTTCAAATAATTGAGCTCTGTACTCAGATATAGGAACCATTTGAATCTCTAAGAGTTGACATCAAGGCTTCTTCCCATTTATAAAAAATGTCTATATATTTGTTCACGCTCTGATTAAATTCATCCACGACTAATAGAAAAGGTACTTAGTTATCACTACCTTCAAAGGTTTTTGTTACGTTTGATTGACTGCTTTGGAAATGCCAAGTTGTCTAGGAATACTAAATTCTATTTATCAATCAGGGCATGTTTTTAGACGTGGATAATCTTATTGGTGATTAGATTGTTGTTTTGTGGTTTGAACTTGGATTTTTAGATAACATTACGATTATCAAGTGGTGTCCTGAATATATTGACCAGTTTTGAAAGTCACGAAATGGTTTTCAATGGAAAATTAGTATGAGTGTACTTATTTTGTGCTTGGAATACCAATTTCTGGTAGAACTTAATTGCTTTGCTTTGCAACATAAAAACGATTTTAGAGTCTCTTGATAAATAAAAATTATAAATTTTGTACAGCCATTTGCACAATCATCGTCTTCATTTATATTTGACTAATTTGATGGAAATATGTTTTCCTTTGGGAGTCTGTTCCTCAATAAGATCATAATTTCAAGAAAAATATCAGAGCATCTACTTAAATGACTTATGGCAAAGTCAGACACTTTGACCCTGGTATAATGATTGAATTTGTTGTAAAACTTTGATTCCAATCTGATCAATAATGTCTGATGAATTTATTTTTCCGTGTCACCTCACTGTTCTTGTAAATCACAGCTCATCTGTCTTAGCATTGAAGTGCTCTTAGGATTTTAGACTGTGTTCAAAAAACTAATCTACTTTCGATTAATCTGATGTCGATTTTCTGTTACATTTTGGTTGAGTATTGTCCGTATATTATCAGACTGCTTTGAAAATGAGTTTGAAGGTTCGTTTAAACTGTCCTCAGTATCTTTGAACTCTATTGATTTTCATGTTGCATTAGTATTGTTATTCACAACCACTGTTTCTGTGTCTGGCATTTGGTGGATGTAACGCATTATATTTTTGTGTTTTCAATTCTTAAATGTGTTAAAACTTCTGAGTTTTTGTCCATACAAGTTCCACAAATGCAGAAACATGATGCTCATTGATTGCATGATACGCAATTTATCAATATACATATGTTATGTTGACATATCCGTTACATTGACTATATGTTGTTATGTAGGTACAAGGGTTTGGGAATCAATCAATAGTCAAGTCATTGGAATCCTATACGATTCAGTTGCAAACCATATTTGTATTACTGTGTATCAAATATGATATAATGTAAAAGAGGTTTTTCTATTGGTTAGCATTGATCTGGTAGAAAATCTGAAACTTGCGATAGTTTTTTTTACTAATATTTTTGCTTTTACTAAATCATTATTATCTTTCAGCATTTCCTTTAGATGCTATTCAGATTTTCTGACATTATGATTTTTTGTATGTGGATAGTTTGGTAGACCTGGAGTGATGGTCAACTTACCACTGTTCCTCATGGTGTTATGCCAGAACTGTTGCCTTGCATAGGTAACATATTGAGTAATAGTAATGCAAAATAATGTAACATTAGAATATGTATGGTGATTATGCAAGTTAATTGGTTATTGTAATTACTTATGTTATGACATTGTGGTGTAAATTATACAATTGTAGGCATACATAATGTTGATTATATATTTATATAAACATGTTTGAGTATACAGTTAGTGTAAACACCATCTGTATATTATACAGTTATCATTAATAAGGCCATCTAATCAGACACATTTTAGGGAGAGTTTACACATAAAACAGATTTTATCAGTACATAGTAAAAATGTAAGAGACAATTTAAAAATCAAAATATGGAGTATTATAAATTAATCTAAGATTATGGATTATTTGCTATTACAGATGAGGGGTATGTTGTTTATAATTAACTTATCACAAAAATTACTTTCACTGTTTGATTTGTGTATCACTTTAAGGATCATCATCTATTTTATTTTGTTGATTGTTCAAACATCAAATCAACATTTGAGTAGAGGGTTGAACTATAATAATGTTCACTTTGTTTTTCCTGTCAACTGTCAACATTTTGACATCATCCCTTATTTAGTTTTAAATTGAGTTATGAGTACTTGCTGTGTCTTTACTCAATGATGTAATCAGTGATATGTTCCATAGTGACCCTCAGAAGGATCATATGCAGCCGGCCATCTACATTTAGGTCTACCGAGACAGATTTATATCAAGCATGACGTGTCAGAAATTAGTTTGAAATTCCCATAATGCAATCATCTATCTTGTCTATATTTATCGCAAAAAGAGAATCGAGTGATTTTATCATTCTGTTTTTCTGAGTCATTAGATAAATTATTGGTTATGGAGATCATATTCTGGTGATTTTGCTGTCTTGATTTTTACGATGACTTGCTGAAAAGAAACCTTGAATGCAATGGCAATCAAGTCTTCTTAACATTTCATCTGAATAATTCACTAAAGAATTTGTGAAAACTGTGTGTTTTGTAATTATATTTGTTGATAGATGGGGCAACAGTTTTGCACTATCAAACAGGACTTCATGGAGGATAGATGGAGCCTGCGTAATGTGTTATCAGACAGGAATGCGTGAAAGATGAAAATAGTCCAACATGATGTGTTTTCGATTACTTGCCACTAGTATAACAACCAGCTATAAATAGGGATCATCTCAAGATTAATTAGCCAGTGGAGACATAATGCAGAGCAGTCAAATAACATTACGTGGTTACGTGGCAATTTTAATGACATGACCATTTTTACCTTATAGTCATAAAAATTGCCAGTTTGAATGTTGACTAATCAGAACTTCTTTTTTATAAGTGATTAAGGTTATGCTCAGGTGAAACCAAATTGAAAAGTAGCCAAATATTTGAAATTGGTGTAATCACCAAAAGTGCCACACTAACAAGGGTACAGTATTCTTTATCTCAGAATACTACCTTCATCCTTGATTTACTGGGGAGGATTCAAAATATGGCCTTACCAAATCACTGTTATGTCAGTATGATGTTCAGAAACGTTAAAGCTTTTTTTTCTCAAAGGATCATGTCTGCTTGGTTTCATAAAAACTCATTGATCAAATATGGGGCAGCTTTCAGGACAGTTAAAAGGGCATTATTCATAGAGATAAGTTTTTAGTAGCTACTGAATCTTTTATTAAACATTCCCTTGGGGATGCTCTGCTTTGATAACTTGAATGGACATCACTTCGTTATTCTGTAAGTCCCTATTTGCTTGAGAAATGCACAAACGAATGTCTTAACAAAGCAAAACACAACATCCAAATGCTTTTGGCAGAATAATACATTTTTTTAGTTTCCAAGAAGCGGATGTTGATGTTTTGCTAGGTTGATATTAGTAACTTATATGGTAAGGGTGGTTTGGAATGATATGTTCTTGTGTTTTGTTACTAAATCTTTACATGTACACAAAAGATAAGGGCTCTGTATATCTAACTTATAGAGAAAATAAATCTAGCTGCTTATGGAGTTTTAAGCATGTCATTTGGTGTACCCCTCTCCAACTTAAAATACGGGAAAATTAGATGAAAAGTTTGATTAAATTTATGATTTTTAGGGATACATGGTTATGATTTAAGATTCTATAAGTTTACTCATTCAAGTCAGTTCATTATATTTCATAGAATGCACCCTTGAGTCTATAAATTCCTGTACATCTGAAGATTCTGAACTTAGTTTGGCAGCAGCCTAGGATATAATTCAATTCCAGATATAACTTAATTGTAGCGGCTCTATAACACTTATGTCTAATAATGAAAACTGTTCAATCCCTGGTTCAATATTTCTGATCAGTGGAAGAGGCTGGAATCAATATGCAGGGCTGAACCATCTTGATATTTGATTGTGTATTTACCAAGTATTTAGCAGGCATGTTACAAAAAGACTATTTTAATATGATGTCTCTGTTATAAGTCACGGGCCTAGCAAACCTAGGGGAATCCAGACCCCATGGCAACCTGGAAAATCTAGGAATAGCCTAACATATGCAGAATTCAATGTATGGTATGTTTTGCCAGTATTTAGTTTTTGGATCATCTTAACCTTTAAGCAATTAATTAATTTGTGTTTATTGACTCGTTCAAATCTAAAATGCTGGAGCTCTCAAATTTAAAGAAATAAAAGTGGTTCACACATTGACATGGTCTACAGCTTTTCTTGGTGGATGGTGTTCAATGGTTGGTGTTCAGCGTATGGTGGTTGGTGGCCGGTGTCTGTAACAAATGGC